GTGCCGGGGCACACGTGTGCGTTCGCCAAACACGCGGAACACGTGATTCACCTGTGCAAGGGAGCGCCATACGTGTGTAATGGTCCCGTGTAGTTTCAGGATGCTGCAGCGGATTCCTGGCGACGACACTGCTGTACGGGGCGTTTGTGCAACGAGGGAAGTGAAAAAAAGGGGAACGATCGGGCGTGGCGGGAGAGAAAACGCGGTGGAGTAAAATGCTAAAAGCTGACGGGAGAAAACGTGCGCGCGCGCGCGAGAACTGTACGTTAATATCGTATATTTTTATTTCACACCCCGGCGACGAACCGAAGGCGCCGACACGAAACGCGGCTTGAATAAATATTCGCGGGTCCATCCCGCCCGGAATTTTTCTTTATTCAACTCGAGTTCGGTGCCCAGCAGCTGGTTTAACTCTGCCTCTGCCGAAAATCTATCCTCGTACGAGTATATATATAAGATTATTGAAAACGGGAACGATATTTTTTTAATATGCCGTAATTTTGGCGCATATTATCCGCGCGCATCTGTTTTATGAATTTTCGCGTTATTTGCTTTTTAGTGGAGTTTATTGAGCTTTTTTTTTTTTTTATCTTTTGCGCCCTATCGTTGATTTTACCAGGTGAAATTGCAGGGAAAAAAAGTCGGGCACGATGATCGGTGCAGGAGCGACGTCTGTTTAATGGTTTTCTAAAAGCACCCGTCGACGCGGATGAGCTTTCTTCGTTCGTGTCGAAGTACTCAATACCGGCTACGCAAGTGTTTGCTTGTGTATGTGTGCGAATGCGCAACGGAAAGAGTTTTTTTCCTCGAGAGCAAGTGGTATTAAGATAACTATTAAGGTTCAGATTATTTTCGATTATTCGTCGTAATGGCTTTTTGCAATTTATTTTCTCATTATTACATACGCTTCTGCAGATGTAGATAATTATATCAGTTTTATAGGTATATAGAGACATATACCGGTAAAAACATATAAATTTCACAATTTTGCACATATTTTGCATTTTGAAAAATTATAATCGCGAATACTTGGTGAAAGTTGAAGCATACTTTTGTAATAAAATCAGTTTAACGTGATATATAATATTTGAATATTGGAAAACTTTGTAAGTTTGATGTAGCAGTTTACTTACTTGGAGCGAAAATGAAACTTTCGCAACATTTCGCATGTCGATACGTCGACACGATACAATCTTCAAAATCAATCAATCAATCAATTATACCTACCTAATTTTGCGTGTAAACAGCCAATACACGATTATATAATCTTGAATGCCGGCAATATCTAATTTCCGGCGAGCTTCTTCGCAAAAACCTATCACGATCATATATTATAATTACGATCGATTCGATAAATTAATAAAAAAAAAATTACGATAGGGCGGCACACTCGATCAAGCATTCGTACTCGTGTCGAGCTCATCACCGAGATTTAATAGCATTAATATCCGTACACGTGAGCAGACTGTTAAGCGTGTACAGTGTGTACATACACGTGACTATGTACACGCACGAATAATCTGCGAATCTCGGCTGAACACACACACAGACATACGTACACACATACGTTACCGTACAACACATGTTCGACGCATCAAGCGCAGCATCCGACATCCCCTATTCGAGTGTCCCGATCGTGTCTCTTTAAACGCTATTATGGCCTTATTTGTCCGCGCATATAAGGCTATTATAGATATACATATATATATATATATATATATATATATATATATACACGGTGAAATGCGATATCGGATAGGGTCTTTGTACCATCGGACTTTGATACTTAATATTAATTATACCACTTGGCCCTCTCCTCTATATAGACACACAGCGTGGTTGCACTATGTCATTATTAGAGTCTGGTCGACCCCAACGGTGGTCTTCTGGGACGTGCATCGTGGTCGCGCTGCATACACGACATGCGGGCGAGCTGCACCTGCGAATGTGCCGCTCCAGTAGTTGTCCTTTCTCTGGAAAAATAGCCTCCGTAAGCGGTCGCCGAGATTCCTATCGATTCTCGGCTTTACACGAGTTCCGTACATGCGCTGCGAATTTGTTTCAAGTGTTATAACAATATCGTACGGATCAATTAATGCTGTAGAATTTAACAGAAATAATTTAGCTCAAAGATCTATTTTCACAAGTCTTCATAATTGTTTCAAATTCCCAAAATGTGCAGTCATATACGTGAATTCGTACATTTTACAGTGAGATGGATCGATTGTAACGATTCACCAAAACGGAATATCTGTTTTCAGATAATGTTCAAGAGTATAAAATTTTCATTCGCTAAAGATACCTACATATAATGCACGAGTTTGCATAATAACGTCGACACAATGGTGGGTGCATGATTAAAATTATTTTTGTTTCTTATTTTTTGTTCTTCCTTAATTTTTATAAATTTAATTTAAAAAAATTTCTTTTATATATTAAAATAAAATCCAAATCCAAAAATAAATTCCCGGGATTATTGAAAAGGCGAGCCAATACTTCATTTTTTAAATGATTTCAAAGAGGACAAATGCCCTCCCTCTGCGAACTCCCGTGACGCCGACATTAAAGACGCCCAGCCCAAGCATTATTAGCCAGACTTAGCGATGAAGAACGAGAGAGTAGAGGCGGCGCGCTTTAAATAAAGTTGTAACTGCTTAAACAAAAGGGGCGTATTTCTCCGGCGCAAACAAAAAGCAGGCTCATTTCACCGGCAGGATTTGCGGACGACTATTTTGTCGCGGGACATTCGTTATGGCTAATTCGCTCGCGCGGTCGCTTCTTCTTCCTCGACCGGAGGTACGCTTCTTTGCCGAGCGACGCGGAAATTGCACGAGCAAACTTCATATGTTGCGGAATACATCCGAGTGTACATGTATATGCATACGTGGACCGACGCGACGCGGCCGTGTCATCCCTCGGGGAGGGTCGAAATTGCGCGACCGAATTCTTTCCTACGACCACGCAAACGCGGATGAAACCGCACGCGAGTCGGTTCGTTTGTGCGCGAACACACACGCGCGTCACTGCAAATTGCGGAGATTGAAATTACGCGATATTCTGTCTGCTTTGCGATACACGGCCGGCAAATTCGCGCGCGGCAACTCGCTGCTTCCTCGTATCGATGCCAATGTTCCAGGCGATAATTCCTGGTGTATCTAGATAAGGGTATCGCGCATTCGATATTCGAAAGTTATCGCGACGAAAATTAATCGCGCGACGCAAAATCACGAATACTTGAGATTGCGACTCGCTTCGCGCTAAATGCTCTTAATAAGGAAGCATTTGTAGCATCAAGTGGCCTGAACACAATCTTTATTATATATGCATATATTGTAGAACAAATAGACTCGTGAAAAAATGGTTGAGAATGAAATAAATATTGCGAAGAAGAAAGTTACAAATTGTAGAATATAAAATATACAAAGAACACGATGTTAAATGTCAAGAATAATGTATAGCTGATAACGAGATAAAAAGAGGTGCAAAGTCATTAAAAAATTACGAAGGAAAATATAAAAGACGATTTATAAGAGTAACTATTTATACGAAAAGCAGAATGTTCCATCAGTTAAATCCGGTGTTAAATTAAGAAAGACATAATGCATAGCATAATCTAGTAAAGTTGAGTATATATAGGAAGACATCAAGCGAACGCATATTCTTATCGCTGATTTGACTTGCCAACTTGAAATGAAGATATAAAATTAAAGTGATCCATGGAAAAGGTAAAGAAGGGGAAAAAAAGGTTTACGAGAAGGAAGATGTGCATTTATCCCGCGCTACGAAGTTAAGTCGCTTAAGAGTATTAAACGACGCATCCGATAAGTTTCACGGTATTGCTGACAAAAAGTTCTTGAAGACGTAATGAGAATGAAAGAGCGGGATATAGAGTAAAGAGTTGAAGCGAAGTTTTCAAGCTTTGTAAGTTAAAAGCGGAGAAAATACATCGCGCAACGATGACGCGGATCTCGGGAAAGAAATAACGAACGCGAGTTGAATAAATCGGCGTTCCGACTTAAACGAATCATTTCGCTGAAGCGAAATCGAATGTTTTTTTTTTTCGTCCGATCTACTTATCTCTCCTGTCACCCGTCTTCGTTTTCAGCGCTTAAACGCGACAATGCGCGTGTCACGTTTATACAGGGAAGGTGATCGAACGGGGATTCTCTCCTATCTCGAGGAGACTCAACTCGAGACTCATCCGAGACACGCGCAACGCTTCCGACAGGTCTCGCGCATCAGTTCTGATTTAGAGTAGAGAGAAGGCACGACACGCGCGAACTGAACCACCAGTCGCTATTGTCGGTCCGCGTCACGTACAAATGTGTCACAACTTTGGATCAGAGGTCTCGGGGATCTCCTGGGTATAGCCGCTGATCCTCTTTATGTATTTGGTCCTTCAGCACGTACCAGCCACTCTCCGCACTGGCCGCAATGGCGTAACAATAAATCTCCCGATGCCCGGGTTATGAGCCGGAATCCGATTACCCCGTGTGTTTTTGCCGTCGGTGATTTTTTGACTGTTAAGTAAATTGAAGCACGGAAAAACATTATTGTTAAATCAGATTACTTTTGGATTGATGGAAAAGGTTTGTCGTCGAGGGAAATTCAAGAATTCGCAATTACGAAGTTGTGACGAACGATTTTTATTAATCAAAAATCACCATTGACTAAGCATTCGGATATCTAATTCAAGTTTTGTATAAAAAATAAACAGAACAGCCATGTTGATCAATTATATAAAAGAATTAATGGTCAAGAATATTTATTACAATTTATATCAATATAATATATTTGTCTGCGTTATTCAAAATTATTAAAATTTTTATAGGTTTTATCTAATTCACTAATTACGCTATTTATAATTATTGGGCGAATTTTCATTCTAGTACCGTCGTTCCTCTATTCAGAATAGTCATGTTGATCAATTATATAAAAAGAATTAATGGTCAAGAATATTTATTACAATTTATATCAATATAATATATTTGTCTGCGTTATTCAAAATTATTAAAATTTTTATAGGTTTTATCTAATTCACTGATTACGCTATTTACAATTATTGGGCGAATTTTCATTCTAGTACCGTCGTTCCTCTATTCTTCCCTCTTGTCAATCTGTCATTTAAAAAATATTAAATTAAGTATGACAAGAAGGAGGCACTTGATCATAAATTATTCGCGATCGGCGCTGTCCGATAAATGATTGAAAATCATCATCTTCATTCACCAGAGGATCGACCCATCAACCCTACGGAAATTCTGACAAATTCGGTAGAATTGTTCCACGCTGCTGGCTGATCATTAAGTGGCGATAGGCGAACTTTTGATGTTAATTGTGTGGCTCCGCCCTCGTCACGTCATCGGCCACGCGATAATCAATTCTTCAGGTTCCTCCTTTCACAAAGGTCCCCTTTGTTTTCACGTGTCGAGTTATCGAACCGTTCGCGTTAGAAATGAAAAAATTCCGGCTGACATTTTTCCCTTTTCGCATTTGATTATTCGCAAGATTCTCTTACGTTAACGATACAACCGACGAAATTTCGTTTATCCCGCTCAAACCTGTCGTTCTTCATCATTGCCCGAGAGAAATGCGAGCAAATGATGCTGCAGAGTTAAAAAGAACGGAAAAAGAGAGCAGACGGGGATGCCTCGTCCACCAAGCGGAATATATGATGAAATGCCAGCCGTCACTCGCTGGAGTCCGCTAAATCGGTGGAGAAACGAGAACGCGCGCGCGCGCGCGCGAGAGAGAGAGAGGGAAAGGGAAAGAACCAGGGGAAGAAGAGGATGGGGTAGAAGAGTCCGGATCAACAAACAGATTAATCTGCGTTAAATCCTGGACGCGTTCTGCGCATCCAGGCGACGGCGGCCAGAGGGTGAGAGAGCGAGGTGAAAAAACGAGGGAGCACGCCGGGAGAAAAAAAATGCCGCGCGAGAGGAAAATTTTTATTCACGAGAAGTCGTTCATCAACAGTCCGGAATATTCTGCCGGTCAACCGCGTCCCTCCCTTCTAGACATTTCGTCACTCCACGTGACATAGGATACCTCCGATGACATAAAACGCGTATATATACATATTTATCGCAGATCGGCGAGGCGAGAGCGAGCTCGGTCGGGGAGGTTGTTTTCGCGCCATAACTTAATTTACCCCTCATCGAGGATACGCAAACCCGTTTAAGCCGGGCGAGATCCCTACCTACCCTCTCGACGTCGAGAGTAGGGGATAGGCGGTGACTCCATTTCCAGAGGCTGCCGCACGACCAAGAGTGAATTATTGCGCGCTACGATGCCCGGGATGACCGTAGCTGAACTTGCACTCTGAATCAAGACTTTCCGCACCTTCCTCCCTAAAGCATACAAAGACGCGATACGTGAAAAATTTCGGAATACGTTTCTCCTCGTCTCGGAATGGCTCGAAAGTGTTATAGGAATTGTTACGCGAATCCACAAAACGATATAAAATGATATTTTCTTAATGGGATTTTATTTTGCTTTTCTTCTTTAATTTTTTATCAAGTATATATATTTTCAAGTCAAAAGTCGGAAATTAAAATCCTTATATTCAATATAATTTGTAACAGCTCTTTAGAAAATTTTAATCTACAAATAAAAAGGCAATAAGAGCTAATTAAGTTCTATACTAGAAATTTATTTGTGAAAAGATTTATAACATAAAATATTAAATATTAGGCAGAAATAAATTCGTTTGTACGTTTCGGTTGTCTTTTTCAACCTTCTTCAGCGCATCAATTAAAATTAAAGATTGATAGAATTATATTCAATTTTATGAAAAATTGACAGAAGAAATATAGACACTTTACTCATACATTATGTATCCTCTCGTATCTTCATCTATAGACTTTGGGGATTATACTTGACTTCGAGATATCGGTATATGTATAAATTTGCGTAAAATAAATGTATCGTCATCAAAAATAGACACTCGAGAACGAAATTCTCGAAATATATCTTACACTTGAGAATCGACGCTGCATCGATGTGCAATCAGCTAAAAGCAATTCCGCCTTTCGCGACTGGCGCGATGATGATTATGAGGGCGATCGATCGGGCAGAAACGGGGCATCGCGCGGTAATCACTTAAAATCGCTCGTTACTTAATTACGCGAAATCCCTCACAAGCCGCGTAATTAAATCCCGTGGAATCATGCGGTCGGCGGCTGCTTTTCCCATGCGAACGCGATCCCGGCCCGACGATGCATTCGTAAAATTAAATGACGCGTACTCGGCTGCATCGCCGCGCTGCACCGGTGCAGAATTCGGGCTGTATTAAAATGGAATTTCTCGGGAGAACTGCGCGTGGAAAAGAATGACGCTGCAGTTTTGCATCGCGCGAGCCTTCCGATTTTGCAGCGCCTGCAAGAAGCCGTATATACCTTCCCGAGAGAGAGAGAGAGAGAGAGAGAGAGAGAGATACGCACGTGCAATTCTGAAAATATCGAAACAGCCCGTGGGAAATGCACGCATTCTCGTGCGATATTCATGATTACATTTCTTTTTTTTCAGATTTTAATTATTCTCATATATGTACTTCCACGTGATCTCGCTCTTTCTTTCTCTCTGCAATGTATATATGAAGTAATGGTTGGGGAAAGGAGCATTTCTGGAACGCAATTTTGAGATAAACTGCGCAAATGTCAATAAAAGCTTTGCTACTTTTTAATTTTAAGTTTACAAATGTTAGTTAAAAGGAGTTATACTTTTTTTCGCTCGAGAAATTTATATAACGAGTTTTCAAGGATTATTTGCCTTCTTTAAAAGAAATTGTCTTTTGCTAGTTTTCCCTCGCAATGTATTTCATTACTCACGAAAATAACAAATTCTCACTCATCAAGATACAATTTTTACTCATCTTCGGAGTTTATTCGTAGAATCTTGTCTTGACATAATATTTAATTCATCCACAATTAATAAAACTTTTCTTTTCTGTTTTCCTGCTGAAATTCAAGTAAGCGTTGTCTTCTATATACCGCACGCGTTTACTTCATTCGATTGTTTTTCTCTCTTCCATTGATTACGATCGGAATACGAAAATGCTTTCTCTGACAGATTTATTATTGTCATTCAAATTCGCGGCGTACATATTCGTGCCAACGGAACCGCGACGTAAATTCTTGTCCCAAACAAGTAAATTCTTCGCACTTAACGATCGTACATATTCACTCGCGAAGCTGAAGATAGGAAAATGCAGTTTAATTGAACGAACGAAAGGTGAATGCATTTTTTCATTGTTTCGTAAGAAGAAAGATTCGCGGACATTGTCACGAACATTGTAACGTTTGCGTTTGGCATTTAAAAAGTCGTATTATGAATAATTTTTGTATAAATTAAACGTTAACAGCACGGAAGAACGGTGTTTATTTTTATTCGCGGAATATAATATTTTAGTTTTCCATAATGCACAAAGCGTCTGCGGCACAAAGATGCAAAAGACGTAAAAGACTAAGAGAGCAGAAAAGTTCGATATTCTCTTTATAAATATAAATGAGACGAACGTTAATTGAACCATAAAAACGATTCTACTCTTGTTCGAGCAAATACGATTGTGTCCATATGCCGAATAATCAATGTGCCGTATCATGAGGGAACTAATTCACGTTAAATTTCGTATGACAGCGGGTATTAATTAAAGCTCGCGAACCGAATACTGACGGGGTTTGTTATTCCGCCCGTTCCATTTGTTCATGTTGTTGCCGAATGAATTCGCGCAGAAAACTTGTCAAATCTAAAAACACACAGCGTGGACAGCGAGGCATTAAATAAGACAAAATTTTGTATCGCGAGCTAAATTATCGTAAATTAAATAATACGCATCGAAAAAAATTAATTATGGAACATGAAGAGAGACGGAATATTTTACATGAATTGTGTGCATATTTTACCTGATTTTATTGATGTATACGGTTGTATATGAAAAATCGTTGATATAAAAAAAAACAAAAAAATATTTTATTTGCAATAATCGGATAATTTGCGTATGTGGAAAAATTAAAAAAAAAGGATTCATTTAATTTTGTCAATTTCGACAATTTCGTGTAAACATCTGGTATTTGTTTCTTATCTTTCACGTAACAGCCAGCAGTAGAGAAATCCCGAAGCTCGGCTACGAGTGGACCACCTAATGCCGCCAATACGAGCAATTTCACGCCAAACAACCCTCGACTCGATTCGGTTTCGATTGTGTGCTCACGGATTACAAAGCAATTACGGCCGGCCCTCGTGCATTCGACGCGAATAAAGAGACGACCTTTTCGACATCGCTGACGATACGCAATTTGTTAACCATTGGTGAACACGCAAAAATTACGGGCGAATGACCGTTCTTATTAAAATGCCAAATGGCCGATACATTTTTTTTTCGATTGAGTCGCGAAGGGACAGCGAGCGGAAACGAGAAAAATCTGTATAAAATCACACAGTTGTAGAGACACACCGTATTGCTTCGTTCGTAACATTTATATCTATTTGATTTATCGAGATTTCTGGATTGAAAATATATATTCATTTTACAATACTAGATATTCAAATAATGTTGTACAAATTGTGAAAGTTATGTATTTTGCCCGCAATTTTTCGCGTTACTAATAGAGTACGCGAAGCAGATTTTAATGCGGTAAAAAAAAATGAACACCGTAACGATAAAATTGTAAAAAAGGATAATATATTGTACGGTGCAGCTTTTTTTAAAAATACGAGAATACTGCACTCGGTATCACTAATTAATGTTATTCCACAATAGCGTCCCAACTACCGCAGTTTCCACTATAGTTGGTTATACTCGGACCGTTGAATATTTCCTAAGATCTACTCCGGATTATCCTCTTAGGGAACACCCTAGAATTCGCAACTTTCTCGTTTCGTGTGGAAAAACGACTCGAGAACCGCGACGATTCATTACACAGGGGCGAATGAAATTATTTAAACACTCGGAGAAGTCTTTGTGTGTGAGAGTAAAATTGAAGGATCAATATTTACAAAAAGGGAGAGATATCAAGAATTCTAGGAATCAATTATAATAATTTCTATAATATGCTTTCTGTAATAATGAGCTTTAAATTATTTATTATGAAAGTACATACATTAAAATTATTAGAAATTCTCTTGATTGTGATGGATTAAATTTTGATTAAACTCTCGTGTTACAATCGTGACTTTAATCTCTCCTGCGAATTTCATAATATCTTTAAATTATATTTTTTTCATCTTAATCAGATGTATAATACAAAAATCAATTGCATCTTTAATTCAACTTTTAAGTCCAGGGAATATTTGCAGACGTAAAGAATAACAGGTGATAAAACTATTTTTATTTCAAAAGATAAACCCATGTTAAAATTTACTTTTTCTCGGATACTTGAGAAATGCTGGATATGTAGCTTAATCTCGTTTTCCACATTTTTTTGGACTTGGTTCTCTTTCGCGGCGCGCGCTCTTCTTCGGGATAAAAGCTGCATAAGAGAGATCTTACGTAGTAAGTACGTTAAACGTCTTGACGGCGTGCAAAGTGCTCGAGATGTGTATTCCTTCGGCATCGCGGGAGTCGCGCATGCGACCTTTACAGTCTCTGAAAGGGCTCTCTCCTCTTTCTCGTCTTTTTTTGCCACTTTGCTCGCGTGAGAAAAAGGAAAGGCGTCGGGGCGACAAAAACGGAAGAAAGAGAGAGAAAGAGGACGAGGACTTGCATTGGCGAGAGACGTTCGCGAGAAGATGCGAAAAGATTAACGAGCTGTTGTGGATGTGCGTTTTACACGCGGCCCCTGTATGTACACCTTCGGGAGTTCTTAATGCGATTCGCGGCGCCTCGCAAGAAAGGAGCAGCGCGATTTGAATGCAGACCGCTCTGAGGGACGTTTGAATGGCAAAGAGTACGAAAACGGCCGGGCTAAATCGACCGATCGAAATCGCGGGTCTCTTAACGTTTTCTTTAGCGGAACGTACAATCTTTTTCCTTTTTTGTCCTTTTTTTATTTTTTTATTTTTTCATTTTTTAATGCATCAATTTGTCTCATCATTTTTCTGTTAAATCCCAGATATGCGCAGTTGCAGTTGCAGATGTAACTATGTATTTTTTTTAATGAGAATTCATGTTTTATGTGTAATGGGTTTGTCAATCCGTATGTAATCTTCAATAACGTAACGCGACAATGTTTAATAAAGAATTATTACCATAAAAACATACTATAGCGTGAAAAGCGATGTAAATTATTTCAAGATCGATATATTATATACTCAATGTCAGCTTTTTTTGCTTTACGTTTTTCCCTATTTGTGATTGTAATAGATGTAACAGCTCTGATTGATACCTTGTATGTCTCATTACTAGTGTCAT